TTTTAAGCGCTTAAAGAAAATCCACAGGACTACTCGATTCAGTTCAGCTGTTCACTTGTGCATTTAAAAAAATATATAAATATTATAACAGCTCACTGTATCACTGTAAGAGTTAAACTATACATACATCCACCTGTAGATGCTGTACATATTTCTTTAATTTAATTTTTCTTAAATTCACATACATTTCAGTTTTACCATGAACAAAAATGATTGAATTCAGTAGTTAAACATTAAGTTCAATGCCTTTACAGTCCCACAAATGCATAAATAACTGAATTTGAATCACATCATTTGACTTTCACTGAATTTGAAGAAACAAATTGGAATTTTTAAGCATTGAATTTCAATATTATTTTAAACTGAATTTGAATTTCAATCTAAGAAATTCAATTTCAAATGATAGGAATTATATATATATATTAATACAATTTAACTCCATTTCATTTGTCATCTCAAAGCACGACACAGGTGAGGATCGTACCAAAGTACAGGAAGAAACCCAACAAATCCAAAGATCCCCTCGGATTCTCTTTGAGAAAGCTCTTGGCAACAGTGGGAAGAAGATGGGGGGGAAAAAACTCCCGGGAGAGGAGTTAGAAAACAGACAAACAATACATAAGAGAACAATAAATAACACTAAACAATGACTGAAGCTGCGGTATTCAAATTATATGATTTAAAGTCAGTTTCTGGCTCACAAAACGTGCAAGACCATCAGTGGCCAGAGTGACAATGTGATCTAAATGATGGAGGATTACATGTGCACATGTGACTCTGGTGTCTGAAAATAGGAGCCACATGTCCATTGGTGCTGTTATTTGTAATGAAATGAGAAGGAAGGAAGATTTTGAATGTCTGCTTTTTTTGTTGTTGATTTTTCTAATCTATTTTTGCCCAGAATGAGGCTCCTGGATTGTGTCCCCCCACACTACTTAAAAAGAAATCAAGAAGAGATCTGATTACGGAGAGAGAGGAGGGATGGGTTTTTACTGCTTTCACATGCAGTTATAAAACACACGGATCTGTCCTTTTAATCCCAAAGTGAAGCAGGCGCGTCACAGAGTCCCTCCAGAGGATCCTCCGGACACGCCCAAACCACCGAGGCTGCCAATGCTCTGAAGAGGAGGCTCGGGTGAAAGTGGAGCGGAGGGAAAGGAGAGGAAACCGTCCCCTGTCAGAAAGTATGCGTCCCTTCAGACCTTACGTCAGCCCGGACTCTTTAACAGGCTGTCAGCGCGGCTCCGGACGCAGACTCGAGGTGCGCGGAGATGTCGGCGAGGGGACGAGGATGTAGCTCACCTGCGGACTGCTGCGTGTGGTGCGTTTAAAGACCCCCCACCACCCCCCGAACTCACTTCTGGATTCAATGCATGTGCGGTTCCTCACCAGTGATGAGTTGGCTCCTGTTGTGGATTCTAACAGCAGCTGGGATTCAACAGGTGGGATGGATGTGGAGAGGTTTCTCAAATTCTTCTCTTTTTTTTCTTCTTCTTCTTTTTAAAAAATGTGCGAACTGCATGTTTGACTTTTTAAGATGCAGGAGATCAGTGAAGTGATAAAATCCTGGGAATATGCATCTCTGTTAGATAGTGTCAGTGTTTCTAGATGCATCATAAGAAGATATAAAGACTTGCAGTGTGTTTGTTTGCTTCACAGTCGGTTTTAGTGAAAAATCCCATCTCTTCGTCATAACTACATAATGTTTAGATTTTCTTATAGGAATCTGTGTTTTTGCTACTCAGTGGGGAGTTTATATTCACCACATTTATGACAGATTAATCCCATTTAATCCAACCTTTCAAGACTTGACTATTTACATTTTTGCTTGCACTTTCTCCCTCCTTTTTTTCCACTTATTACAGCATCTCATTAATATTCATGAGGCCATCTGCAGATGTTTTCCTAAAAACAAGTTCCATTTTGTATTTTTTCTTTATCTGATCGCATTATTCTCCTTCTCTGACATCCTCTAAGACCGCTCATTAATGTCCTCGATGCTTCTGGAGTTCAAGTTGCAGTGTGAGATGCTGATCACCCCGCGGCTTCCACAGTTTGCTGTATTTTACTGCCACCTGGTGGTTATTTGGGGAACTGCTCCCCGAATGGCTTCATCTGTTTTCTTTTATTTCTCATCTGTCTCTCACTTAGTAAATCTGTGGATCAGTCTGTGTGGACCAGCTTTTGGAAACTGCTTGGATAAACAATGAATATAAACAGTGATGGTTTGGGCATATATGAAGGGTTGTTCTGTTAGAGGCATAGTGAGACTGTTAGTTGTTATTTAGCAAGTAGTAGCCTTGTATAATAACTGGAACAAATATCAAGTTTGTCTAAAAAAAGATGTATTTTTCCCTAAAATATATTTTTCGCACTAGTTCCATTTAAGTGGCTTTGAGATAGAAGTTAAAAAACAACAGTGCCTGAGCAGCGCTTTCTCCTTTGCCCCCTGGTATTATCTGGACTTCTTTCTTAAACGTTTTCCTCTCCCCCGAGGACGGCTGAATCGGCTCCCACGGGTCATCTGACGTGGCCACAGGCCGACAGGAGGAAAACATCAAACCGGCAGGGTCATCGGTACTCATCACCTCTCGCAACAGAGAAAACAGCACTTTTATTACCCGGCTATCAGCAAAACACCACAACTATTTGAGGTCACAGTGGAAAGGAGATCATCTACTGAGGGCCTGATTGCACAGATATCTGCAAGATCACCAAACTATGTCTGCTCCTTTTTTTAGATGAGCTCTTTCTCTGATGCATTAGTTTTTTTCTGACAGTGATTAAACATTTCTTTTATAGAATCATGCAGCATTTAGTCGGAGAAGATAAACCGCTTCACTGGTGGTGACTGCATTAAACCCAGCGTTGATTAGCCGGCTCATTCTGTGGTGCATAATGGCATTAAGCCCAAGTTTTCATAATTATCTTGTGAAGCAGCTACCTCTCTGTGATCTCCATTAGAGCGCCTGTGCCCGTTTTGATATTTGTTTTTCCTTTTTGCAAATTAGCCCGATGGCTGCAGGCTAAATTAACTCTTCTGAGGGATGGCTTAGTGGCACAGCGGCGATTAAAGCTCATTTATCTGCATTAGCTTTCAACACCATACAGAGCAGTTATTAATATGAGCATAAATTCCACTGAAGTGCCGAGAACAAGCCCAGGAAAATGACACGCAGGGTACGCCTCACAATTAATTGCGGATTAAGCGCGCATCCATGTGTATGTGTGTCTTTTATGGATCGCGTGCTCCTCGCTTAAGTGCTCCGCTGCTCTAAGAATATGGGTCGCGTTCTGATTTATGAGCACGCTGGCAACATTGGACCTCCAGTCACTTCCTGTTTAGGCCCGGCCACACTGTGGTAATTGTGATGGACGTGGCTCCTGCAACAGCTTCAGTGTGTCTCATTCATACAGATCCTCAGTGATCTTTTTATCACCGCAAAGTGGGTTGACATTTAGTGGATTTTTAACAACAAAAATACAAATCAGGCTTCCACAATATAAAGTTTTATGTGAAACTATTTGCAGCAAAAATGTAATGTGGCTTTTCTTCCCATAAAAAGGAAGCTTCAGTGTCTCACGAAAAACAAAACGACAACCTGGAGACCATTTTTCTGGCGTTTTCTTCCACCACACCCTGTTCCTAAAACAAGAAGAATTTAATTTAGACCCTTGCGTGCGCTGCTTGTTGTTGAAAGATGCGTCCCTAAATCAAAAAGTTTCTTCTGCTCAGCCTCCACCGTCCAACTCTAATCTCCAAGCAGTGGGCTGTTAATGTGCCTCGTGTGGCCTGTTGCAGCGAGAACATCTGCTTTTAAGAGCTGCAAAGCTCTTTACTGTGTGATCTTGGCGACACGGAGCAGCTTGTAGGAGTCGAAACACGCTGAGGGGGGAGAAATTAAGTTTCATTGGCAGGATTTTGCAACTATTCAGCACAGTTGTGGATGTTAAATATGGTGACAGAACACACAAAGCTGGACCCCGACATTGATTTAATAAGATTATCTCCACTGGGTGTTTCATTCATTTTTATAGCCTTATTTAATTTATTGCACAGCATGACCTCGGGGGAGTTTGCTGCTGCCAAGTGCCTGCTCAAAGGGTGTCTCTATATAATTGTCTAAGGTCTTGACCTTACTATGTGAAGAGGATTTATGCTAAATGAAATTGTGCTGTATACATAAAACCGAATTGAATTTCAGCAGTCATGAAGGCAGCGAAGCGGAAGTGGATAAATGGTGGATGTGCGACGTGTCAGATGAGTTGCCTACTGAGACGGGGTTAGCAAAGAGGGCTGGATATGAAGGAATTCCGGATTAAGATATTAAGATTATTGCCTCTCCACAGGGGGTCAAACACCTTTCATGCAATAAGAAATGGCATTTTGATTCTGCGCGAACACAATGAAGCAGCTACAGAAGTCACAATTTTCACTAATGCAGGCTCACTCGTGCACAACGCCACTAGTCATTTAGTGATTATATTTAACGAAAAATAAAATGAGCTGCACATCTTGCCTTGTGTTCGATTTGTTCATCTGAGAGGCTTTGAAGGCTTGTTTTGCTTATATTCTGTCCATTTTCTTCTCTGCAGGCCTACTCCCTGAATTCCACTGCCATGCCGCCCACCACAGCCGCCGTGTCCCCGACCGCAGACTCGTACAACCGCACGCAGTTCTGCAAGTGGCCCTGCGAGTGTCCCGAGGCCGCCCCCAAGTGCCCGCCGGGTGTGAGCCTCCTCATGGACGGCTGCGACTGCTGCAAGACCTGCGCCCGGCAGGTGGGCGAGGTGTGCAACGAGGCGGACACGTGCGACTACCACAAGGGACTGTACTGCGACTACAGCTCGGACAAGCCTAGGTACGAAAAAGGAGTGTGTGCATGTAAGTGTCACTCACAGAAACAAACAACTGTTACACGGCAAGAAAAATCCCAGTTAAGTTTGTAATGTTTGCTTCACTGATCACACTGCAGTTTAAAGTGCAAGATTGGATTTGAGTAGTTCAGGTGTTTGCTGCCATATAAACTCTGGTCGTCATGGTAACGGGAGAGGCGCTATTTGGCAACACGTTGCACTTTAATGTCGCCTTTTACATCATCATTCAGATTTCTTCCATGTTTCTCGTTTGTAGCTGCATGAAGACATTATTATGCAGCTATTTGTTTGCTGCTGTGACATGTGATGATGCTAAATGTAATAAATAGATAAAGATAAAAGATAAATAAATAAGAAAATGACATCTAAATGCAATGGCAAGAGTTGCAAACCACACATGAAAGTGACTTTTTGACCTCCGAAATTGTTTTGTTGATGTTTGCATGTTGAAAATGATATCCAAGTCGCAATACTTACAAAGAAATGTTTACACTGTTAGTATTCTGAGAACCACTGGCCTCTTTACTGCATCTCTGCAGACTGTGTAGTCTTAGAACTAATCTGTGTTTGACATTAAGACCAGTGCTGTCTTTCACTCCACTATTGTGAGCGGCACATTGCAAGAGCGACTCGCAAAGAAGACCTGCGATGCAAATAATCGTGTGATCATGACACAACAAAGAAGACCTGTTTTTTTAATTTTCATTTTACATATTTTATATTGTCATTTTTTCACAGAGTTTAGAATCATTTGGGGATGCAGTCTTTTCATTTATTCATTCACGGTGACTGTTGCTGCATATGTTCCACACACGTCTTTATTGTCTCCAAACAAAGCACGGAGAGGGAAATGCTTTCCTTGTGATGAAATTTGTAGTGTTGCTTGTAAAAAAACAAAAATTTATTGGTTTGAGGGTTTGTTATTGGCCTATAGGCAGAAAGCGGCTTTTTCATTCACAGCAGCTCAGGCTTTAAATGCCAAAACTTTATTACACAACCGGGTGCCACTTTAACTAAAACTAACAGTCCTGCAATGAATCCAACCTCTATGAAGTTAAAAATGTAAAGTTTTTGGTCAAAATTGTGTTTAAGAGGTGTTGATTCAACTGTATGCTCATTTTGGAAGCCCCAGTTTGTGATGCTGTTAAACTGTATAATGTTGACGAATGTTTCTATTTTTTTGTCCGCTTCATGCATATCAGCCACGACAGCCTAAAATACAACAGCAGCATCTCTCTGTGTGATACAACGCAGTCCCAACAGCAGCACAAACCTCCGGGGCTTCCATGTGTTTGCAGTTTTCCCTCCACGTCTCTATAATGTGCGGCCGCCTGTCGTCCCTCTCTGCCAGATATGGTGGGAACCGGCTGCGAGCACGACGGCGTGATCTACCGTAACGGCCAGAGCTTCAAGCCCAGCTGCAAATACCAGTGCGTGTGCGTGAACGGTGCCATCGGCTGCGTGGCGCTGTGCACCGAGTCCCAGCCTCCCCGAGTGTGGTGCCAAACCCCACGCCGGGTCAAAGTCCGGGGAATGTGCTGCGAGCAGTGGATCTGTGACGAACCCAAGAGGGGGCGCAAGACAGCGCCGCGACATGCAGTAGAGGGTAGGGCACTTTGGATGGAAGTACCAGTGGTGGAGTATGTGGTCGCTCGGTGAAGCTACCAAACGGCCCTCAGCTCAAGTGAATGGAGTTAATTCTGTGGAATAAACTAGGAAATCTTTAGGATTTTATTGACTCTTAATTAACCTGACTCAGTGTCATTACTTTAGGATTTATGCAAACTAACTCTCAGGTTAAAGGACTTCTTAAAACTGAAGATTGATGGAGTTCTGCGCACAGATGCATGTATTAGACTGTTAAAAAAGGCTGTAAGAAGTCAGAAAAAGGCAGACATGCGCATACAAAAACTCTGAATGACTTCATATAATTTCAAAATGTTGAATATTTCTGCGTATTAGTGGTTGGTTACAGTAGTAATGTACACATTTTTTTCATCAAAAAATTATCTTGAGAAGTAAAACAGAAGCAGCTGTGTTTGAAAGCGGCTCTCAGAAAGTGCTTATGTGGTCCAGGAGGAGCATGAGGTTTGGTGTGTTGTTGTCTGAGTGTGTGTGTGTGTGTGTGTGTGTGTGTGTGTGTAGCAACAGACCGATCCTTTCCTGTGGAAGCCCTCACACTGTTCTTTGGGTCATGTCCAGTTTCCAGTCATTTGGTGCTGCGGAGGCAAGAATGTGAACGAAGATTTCTTTGTGTTGCATAAGGAAACAAATTAGATCCAGACGAGCGGGCAGTTTAACAATTTAGATTAAAAGCAGATGGGGCGCAAAAAAGGGATGCAGTGTAACTTTGCATCTCATGTGTTCTCAAACATGGAACAGAGACGCTCCACGAAATCTACTAAAACTCACTGAACTTCCATTTGTCAGCAATATATTAAGAAATCAACCTGTTAGTGCTGCAAAAATGATTAGTTAGTACTGGAATGAATGTGAACTAGTGTATTATGTTAATCAATTGTTTGTCTTTTATGTCAAGCAAATGCAGAGTTTTCTTTCTCTGGCTTCTCAAATTCCATTCCTCTGTTTTATAACACTGTACATTAACATCTTTGGGTTGTAGATTGCTGGTCCTATAAAAACATGGCTCCAGAACTGCAGCTTTATTTACCTCATTATTTAATCTTGTTTGTCAAATTTGTGCATTCGAAGAAGCTTAGTGGTGGAGAACCAGCAGGGCTTAAAGCTGTAAACAGTAATAGAGTTTGTGCACATGACATGATGTATTTATTCATCGTGCTTCTCCATCTCTGCTGATCCAGCCTACCCAGCTGAGACCAGGAGCTGGCACAAGAACTGCATCACCCAGACTACCTCATGGAGCCCCTGCTCTAAGACGTGTGGCCGCGGCCTGTCCATGAGGATCTCCAACGCCAACGAACAGTGTGAGCTGGTCAAAGAGTCCCGTCTCTGCAACCTGCGGCCATGCGAGGTCGACATCACCAAACACATCAAGGTGGGGATTCTGCATCTGAATCTGGTCTAACGATGGTAAAAATTAATAAAAAACTTTCAGACTAAACATCGTCTTTTTTCCCCCTTCAGCCTGGAAAGAAATGTCTGAACATCTACAGGGAAGATCAGCCCTCCAACCTCACCATCTCCGGCTGCACCAGCAAGAAGCAGTACCGGCCCAAATACTGCGGAGTCTGCACCGACGAGCGCTGCTGCATCCCCTACAAGTCCAAGACCATCGACGTGGAGTTCGAGTGCCCTAATGGGACGGGATTCACCTGGAAGATGATGTGGGTTCAGGCCTGCTTCTGCAACCTCAGCTGCAAGAACCCTAATGACATATTCGCCGAGTTGGAGAGTTACTACGGTTACCCCGAGGTGGTGAACTGAGCAGTGACGTGTGCTCTCATCCTACCTTTTTCCTGACTTCTTATTTCTTACGTTTTGTATTTGTAATGATTATGTACAAGGTATTTTTCTTACGGCCTTTTTTCCTATTGGAAAAATCTGTAAATATGAAATATGTATGTGTCTCCGGAATGGATTCATAAAGCGTGGGGTGCTTTTTAAAAGAACTCTTTGCAAATGAAAATTTTCAAACAGAGCATGTGAAATATTGAAGGTTTAATTTATTTATGTGGCTTTTTTTTTTTGCATATGTAGTAACATATGCGATGGGATGCTCAACGTTGCCTGTCTTCGAACTCTACATAGATTATACTTGTGGGTATGCAGCTCATTAAATTTTCTTCATGATGAAAGTTTAAAAAAAAATAGGGATGGACTCAGACGCCAAAGACAAAGCCTCGTTTTTAGGATTCCATCTTTAAATATGCAAGAATGACACAATCAGGGAAGATCTGTTACAAGTTGTTTGTTTTTTTTATTGTCATTTTTTTAATAAATACAAACTGTTATGTCATTTTAATGCTTTTCTACAGCATTAGACGGTTGTGCATCGCATCTTTACAAAGCTGTGTGTATGTGTTCTACAAAGTAAAATGTTGCTGTAGTGCAAGTAAAATACAGGAGTAGAAGGTGTCGGGTAAGTTCTATGGCTATCCTCATGTTAACATGTGGACCTATCTCTTCACTCACCCAAATAAAATCCACAACCACATAGGAGCATCACGTCTATAAAGTCAACAATTCCATGGCACGTTTTTTGTTTTTTTTGTTCCTTTGTGCTTTGATTGCATAGAAATCATCATTTAAAAAAAAAAAGAAGAGGAAAGAAACGTTTATGTCTGAAGTTATGATCCATTAATAAAGCATATAATGTAAAAGCTTTCGAATTTGTATCTCAGAGTGTTTTGATTAATGACGAAGCGTAGTCTCAGTGGAATGTACTAAAAATTTATTCCCGAAACGATGTATTAAAAATTTCATCTGTGAGCTGATATAGCAAATGGTTTCACTAACAGACAAACTAAAAAAAAAAAAATGGACGCAAGACGCAGGATGAAACATTATTCGCTGTATATACACGATATACTTGAAGTTTGTCCCTTAATTTTCAAAGTTACAAATGCAATTATTCATCCGAGTGCCTCCACATTCTCTTTCCAAGTCTACAAATCTGCTCCTACGTACAAACGACAACACTTCAGACATGGAGAAAGAAAAAAAACAAAAGAATAAATGATCAGACAATTACAGTAAGAACAGAAAACAGACATTTACAGTCGGGTATATTTGAGAAAGCTGTGTCAATATGGTAAAAATGGATAAAAACAGGGTGAGGGAATGCTGCAGTGGAAATTAATTGGTTTTAATGTATGAGAAATTATAAGAGATACATTTACAAGCTGGTGTACTCGCAGCCACAGCTTTCTCCGACATTCTCTGCTTCGGCGTCCCCGAGTGCTGCGCTGCCTTTAATTACACTCACCTGACTGAGGAACTGAAACATTTTCTGTTCAGATATTAGTTCCCTCAGGATGACAAAGCATGCAAAAACGGTTGACCTTCACCTCCTACTCAAAAGACATATTTTCAAATTAGGGCATCTCAGCCGCACCTCTGCAGGCGAGTGTCCATTGTGCGCTTTTACAACTCTAGGTATACAATCTTTCTCTACATCGTGTGTGCGTAGGATTGCCTGTGTGTGAATTAGAGACGGCGCAGCACAAACCGAAGGGACCTTGAGTGGTTTTTTTTTTGTTTTTTTGAAGGGGTTGGGGGGTGGGAGGCGTCTGGCAAAACGGAGGGTCACTTAGCAGGAGACTTCGGTGGACTTGGGAACGGCCTGGTCCACGTTGTTGTTGGCCGTGCTGTCCGCGGAGGTGTCCATGTGGGAGCGGGCGTGCTGGGCGTCGGCCGTGTGGCTGCGGCTGCGGCTGCCCTCGTTGGTGTGCGAGCGGGAGCGGTTGCCCTCGCTGGTGTGGGAGCGCGAGCGGTTGCCCTCGAAGGAGGTGACGCTGGAGCCGGAGGCGGTGCGGGAGCGGACCAGGCGGGTCATGCTGGCGGAGGGCACTGAGGGGAAGAGGAGGGGGTTCAATTTTCATGCAACTCTATATTGAACTTTTAAAAAGATGTTGCATTTTTATTCGCTATGATAATCTGACAGCTGTAGTTAGTCGTTACTGTGCAGAAAAATATTTTTAAACGAGTAAAACATTAAAATTCTGTTTCCAGATTAATGCATCAGTAATAATCATCAAATGGAAAGATAATAGCCACTAGATCTGAACTTATATTTTCTAAGTAAAGAATCTGAACACTTCCTCCATTAATATTCTAAGTGTACTCTATATTTTAATTAACTTATGGATCATCATTAGACTGACTATAAGCTACAACTTAGTGAATTCATGAGCCATTTCATTTGTAACACAAAACCCTCATCTGTCCACAAGGTGGCAGAAAACTCATCTCTAACAGGTCTGTAAACATTTATCCTTCCATGCATTTTTGCAGTGCAATCTTATTTTTTAAAGAACATTATCAGTCGGTAGAGGCAAACTTAACCTTATCATATCTGAGCACTGCATACAAACTGATAACACGGCGCGTCTTGAATACTTACTGTATCCCATGCCCTGAATGAAGTACTTGAAAGCTTCTGTCAGTTTGGCAGGCTGCAGAGAAAGACAGATAATCAGTCCTCTAATCATTAATTATCACACTTGTTTACATAACATCGACAAACTCGGTCTCTCATCCAGCAGCTCTCTGCCCTGGATCTGAGATATGACAGCTGCTACGAGCAGGTGCTGTGCAGCATGGGAGGATTACAACCTGACAACTGTGGTCCATGTCTGGTGCTTGTTAATGCTCTTAAGTACCACCTTCTTATGCCATCTACCCCTCCACCTGACCCCTCCGTGCAGATTATCTGACCCCTCGTCCAGCCTGCTCTATAACATCAATGCCTCGCAGGGCTTTTTTTAAAATGTATTTTTCCTGACACACAAACAGACATACACACCTGGTCAACCTGGGGCATGCCACCGCAGTCAGCCATCTGGAGAGACAAGGGAAAACACAAAAGAGGCCATTAGAGTTTAGCGTGTTGTACATTTGCAGAGCAGTGGACACAAGCCATTGCCCCCCATTATGTTCAACATGTCCTATTTGAACACGGTGAACACCTTGTCCCTGCCGCCTCCAATCAGTGTTCCTCTAGACCCTGAACAGTTAACCCCAATAAATAGCACCCATTTTGAGTCTAACAGCCATTTGCTTTCGCTTGTGGATCATTTAAGGTTGCCAAAGGCCAACACAAGTAGGTCAGTCGCGGCACTGCGCCTGTGAGGACGCATTCAGCTGTCACATAGCCGGTTAATAAGTCACCAGGTAAATGCTGAGCCACTGGAATCTTATCAGGTGACGTGTTTCCATCAAGGCTATTATAATCTGAATGAGAATATGGGGCAGGAGGTGCAGGGGCAGAAACGGGTCGCTCACCTTGAGCAGTGTAGTCTTTGTTGGGTCCAGCTTGGTGTTGCATTCAACCTGTAGGTACAAATCAAAGACATCTATTAAGGCAAGTATTTTTATGATGTTTGCATTTAACTTGAAGGGTAATAAATAGAAATCAGTAATGCTCTTTGGAAGATTTGGGGCCCTTTAGGAGCTAAAAGCAGCAACAGTCACACATATCTCTTAACTTTAACAGATTGAAACTACTCTAAGTTCCCAACACTGTTCCTGCTTAAGACATGTTGTCCTCATGCGTTTAATCTTGTATATCTCTTGGGCTTAAACAGACGACCAAAGTGAATGGAAAACACGTCCAGCACAAGTTAACCGTTATAACGGTGGTGGGAAGTCTAATCATTAGCATTAAAGTCTCGTCTTAATGTCTCAACTCACCACAGCCTCAACAGCGGGAGAATTGTCGCCAACCACCAGCAGGGAAGGGCACCTGCAGAAAAGAAACACATGCATTCAATGTTGATCAAACACTAGAAATGACACTATCATTTGAATAAAAGCGATGCTGCTTGACAACAACTTACTTGAGGGTTCTGACATTGCTTCCAGGGACCGGCCTCTCGACTTCCAAATCCCTCCGACTGTAAACAAACACTCAGGTTAGAAATCTTAAACAAATCCCACTTTTACTTTATTAAAATGTGAATTTTAGCCTTTGTTGCGGTTACCTTTCATAGGACTTGACAAAGAGATGCAGGTTAAACTGGTTCATGTCGTTTAGGATGTGGTGGCGGTATGTTGCAATTAAGTCCTGGTTGTGGTGGATCTCCTCCTGTGATGACCAAAACATAAATGTGTTTAACTCAATAAGACCTAAAAGTAAAAACAACTGAGTTTACTAGATTTCAATAAAAATCCCAACATCCTTAAACAGAATTTGAATGTGTACCTTTCCAAAGAGGTGGCCGATGATCATGTCAGGCATGGCGTGGGTCCAGCCGCTGATCTGAAGTCAGACCAAAAAAAAGTTCATTCAGCTTCACGTCCAAAATTCTAAGTTATTGCTTTGTCATTGTTGCTGTAGCTGTGAATGTGGATTTATTACCTTGTGTGCAGCCCAGTCCATCCATCCCTCAGCACATGGGTTGATGTTGATGAGCAACAGGCCCTCCATCATGTTGGGATAGTCCAGCTAAAACCACATGAAACGTGACAATTAGTTTTGCTACTTAACTTCTTCTTACCACTATAAATGCAAAAAATATTTAAATAGATGTACAAAAACTGGGTGCTCTTGCTTGTGGCCTTCAGTGTTTTGGGGATTTTGGAGTCTGTGCTGTTCGTGGGTCATTTCAAGGAGTTATTTAGGTTGCAGGCTGAAATCTGTCACATGATCATATCGGATTACTTTGTGACTGATTTATTCTATTTTTGTTAGGTTTCCAGGGATAGTTTGTGTTTCCTGCCTGGAACCGATGTAAGTCTCTTCAAAGAGGTATTGCCTGTTAAATTAATATATTGTGTCACGGTGTACAATGTAGTTTCAGTTGCAGAGAAAGCTGCTGCAAGGAGTTAAAATCTGTATCTCCGTCAGCCTTGTGTCAACACAGCGAGACTTCCTATCGAGCACAGTGTTAGTGTTGAGCTGATCGAGTACATTCCTGAGGCTTTTATGGCTCAGCAGGCTCAAGCAATAAGCACTGCTATATTGCCAAAATCAGCACAAAAAAAAAAAAGCTGAAACACATTAGCTGGCTCTGCTAATCCCAGATTGATTAAAACTCAAAATTATGAGGCGTGATTATGAAACGAGGGGGCAAACTTACAGCGAATCTGGTCAGAACGTACGCTCCAGCTCCGATGCCCATTCCAATAACACTCTTCAGGCTGGTGTGCACAAAAATACATGGAAACTGTTAGAACAACCGGTTAGAAGAGATCTTAAATGTGGAGAGTTAACTGTCGGGGTGGGAACTGAAGCTCAACTTACCCAAAGTGCTTCAGCACCAGTGGGAGAGTCTCAGACAGCTGGTCCATAGATGGGTACTCATACCTGGAAAACAAAACACCTATTGTTACAAACCAATTCAATAAAAATCCACTATCTAATCACTTATTGTTATCGGCGTTTTCAGTTTTCACACTGCGTTCAGGTAGAGCTGATATGAGGCAAAGTCCTCTCCATCAAAGCAGAGATTAGACAGAACGAGATAAACACCTGTCCCTACAACACACTCGTCAAATTAGGTCGCCTTAAGTACATGTGCAGTGATCTACCTGTTAAGTCAAAGGTCGCAGACTGCTTGACATACATTAGGTGTCTAATGTGCGTTTGTGCGCTTGGCTCACCCAGTGGAAAAAGTGTTAGCGCCCTCATGCTGCCCCAGGGCATCGACGTGACACACGGCAAAGTGGTGCATGATTTCTGCCATGTCCTCATGGTTGAAGAGCGTGTCCCAGCAGGTTTTGTCTGGATAACAGGGAAAAAAATGGGGCACAAAAAAAGGAGGAGGAGGAGGATGAGTGATATTCGACTGAGGGGAAGAAAAGACCTCTAATAACCTGAAAAACCTGAAAAGACACAGAAGACGCGGACGGCTTGTTTTTGTAGAACATGCAAATGTTTCCTCCCAATGTGAGATTTAACTTCGTAACACTGGAAGAGTTTAGATTGGAGTTAACAGTATAAAGTTAGCTTGATGAACTTAATCGGATCCCACATGGTACAGTAATTCAAAAGCACCCCCAGCTTTAGGCACAACAACAACAGATGTTTCGCCCTCGTAGAGCTGAATAAGGAGAATAAGGAGTCGGGCTTACGGTTCAGTCCAATGTCGTGGAAGGTGAGGATGACTGGTCTGTCACCCTTGGGAACCCCCTTCATCGTACAGTGAAGCCTTCCATGAGGAGTCTCCACATCGTGCTCCTATAGACGTAAAATGATATCCAAGCTTAGAATAAAACCTAGAGACCATTTAAAAATGCTGTCAAAATATATTCAGGAATTCATTTTTTTATTTCTAAAGGCAGAAAAATGGTGCATCCTCATACCTAATGCAATAATAGTCCGCATTGTTAAAAAAATAGCACATTTACAACCATTACTAAGCAGAAATTGCATAAAATGACTAAATTAGAGCATCTTCCTTCATGCACTCAGCATCAATTCCTTCACACAATGCTTCACCAAAGCTTCGTCACACTTTTTTTCTTTCTGTCATCAAAATTTTAAGCCGTTTTTAGCTGCTTAATTTTTTAAGCTACTTTAAAGCTGCATTTCAAAGATTGCCCACTCATTAAAATCTAATCCACTCTTCCCAATGAGCCACAAAAAAAATAAACATTAAACTCTCTCGCTCCATTTTTGCACCTATTCAACAACTCCAACCGCAGCAGCAACAAACTGCAGAAGCTGCCGTCCAGCAGGCAGCATAATCCAGCAAATCCACTGGAAACTACTCAACGAAAACGTTTCAATAAAGCTTCTCCTCTACTCACGGAGACTTCAATCTCATCGACAATCATTTCCACATCAGGATCCTCCAAAACCATGCTTGCGGAAGACGTGTTGAACTCCGTTCGCTGCTGAAAACTGAAGTAAACGGTGGCTCCCTGAGCTATAGATCCAACAGTTGGCGAGCTTGTGAAGTCGTTGAGCCCTGCACCGAGGGCTGCATTTATACCCCCGCTGCTTACCACTTGGCCTAAGCTCCCAGCCTCCCATGGTGCCTTGCAGGCTGGTCAAAACAAGCTAATTCTAGATGAAGATATCCCTAAATTGGATCAGCCAATGTCAGATACAGGGGCATGAGCTACTGAGTTGACGGGATGAGTAAAGTAGGTGTGTGTGATCAGCGGAAAGACGTGCTGAATGAATGAATGAGGGCAAGGCGGCAGCCATTAATGAGCAATATTTAGGAAAAACATCTGATGAAACAGGAAATCTGCAATGTCTCTCGAGGCTGGAAATCATTAAACAATGTGTTTTGATAGAAATCTGACACGTCTTCAGAAGGAGTCCTATGTTGTCACTGACTGATTTAATTCATTAGTTGATTTAGTTGTGCCAAAAATTTGGAAAAACAAACAAAATGAAAAGGTTAATATAGTTCAAGGATTATTCTTGTCTTGGAAGCCGTAGAGAAGTGCAACTTCCCACCTAAAAATGTCGCTTCTAAATGTGTGTCATTATGAAAAGAACGCAGTCATCCTTTTCTATATTTTCATCAACATGTATTTTTTCTGTGAGGATTTAACCATGTAAACAACAGCTGCCCCATAGTGACCTGACCCGTCGGCGTAGTGTACAAACTGACCTCTTAGGCGGTTTGTTTTCTAAACCAGTTCTGACTGCATGGAACCTGCTTTGGAGGAACATCCAAGTAGGCATCCAACCTGTTTACTGGATGCAATGTACGGGACTCCCTACACCTCGCTCCCCTCCTCCCTCCGCCGTTGCAGGGCACCGAAGGGCACATAGGCTACACAGCAGGGATAATCCTGCAAGGCAGCACGTGTGTGTGTAAGTGCACACGTGTACGTGCGCTTTCATGTGTGTGCATCCATGAAATTCAAAGTGGGGTAAAAGGCATTTGCGTGACAGCGTACGGGCATGAAAAATTCACTATTGTCACCCTCGAATAATCCGTTGTCAACAATTGTTGGAGGCTTAGCTGCCACAGAGCTATCAGACGCTTGACTTGTGTAATTCAGGTCATTCAATCAGTCGGTGTCTCGCCAAAGAAAGTCGAAGAACTTCAAAAGCAAACTGGCTATTTGATGACTGAAGATCTTGATAAAACTTCCGTCTTATTTCACATACAAAAGAACACGTTCTTCTTAATGGCACGACACTTTCAAGACCACTTGAAATCAAAGTGGATTCATTTTTGCAAGCAGCGTCTTTCTTGCTGACCTCACCTACCCCTCAGTGTTTTTTGTTCTCATACGCAGCATTTATCGGAGCTCTATCCGCTATTTTTTCGTCTCTCCCCTTAACTCTCACCCCGACTGGTCGAGGCAGATGGGTCTAGTTCTGAGAATGGGTTCTTCCTGTTTATAACTGGAGATTTTTCTCCTCAACCGTCATCGAAGGGCTGCTCAGAGGGGAATTTTTGGATTTGTTGGGTTTCCCTTCATACTATTATACTGTACAGTCTTCAGCGTTACTATATAAAGTGCCTGATTTAGTGAATTTGTGCGATGTAAGCAAAACTGAATTGAATCAACTGAAGACGGTCCTCTCTCTGCAGCAACAACACAATACAACTTGTGTGTTCTCAAGAGGAAACTGAAACTGTTGATACTCTGTGTTATCTTACAAATCCAGCCCAACGTGTTTTTCATCCCTCTCAGTATCTGACTGAATTAGTGGAGCCCTGATTAGATTTTAGTTCTAATAAAATTACAGCGGATGAAAGGTCATCACCAAGATGGATGAGACACCGAAGCAGCTCTGTTGACCAGTGGTTTAGTATTTCTCTACGGTAGCCACTAGATGGTAGTAGACGAGGCTAAATAACGGCTGTAAAACTGTGAGCATATACAGCCTGTGACTGGAAGAGTTTGTTGACACTAGCTGATAATACAGAGTTTACGACTGACGGGAATAAAAATAAATGCAGGAGCCATACCTGGGTAACAAGCTGCTGTACTGCCTCTCGCAAGCCCTGAAAGGAGAGAACAGAAAACATTAAACTAATGCAGTTACGGTGCAAGACGCTCTAATCAAATATCCTGAAGGCAGCTCCATCCTGTCACCAAATGTATTCTCACATCAACATGAGCATATTTTCAACAACACAACTCCTTTAATTGAACAAAGGATCAATAATTGAAGAATATTTTTTGTAGCATCTACAGAATGTGAAAAGTGATGCGTAATCATATCTGGAACATTTATCACATCGTTTTCTGTTGGGGTGTGCATTTTGGTGCAAATCTATCATGTAAATATATATATTGGATACTATTTTGGAATTACTTTCAAACATTGACTTGGGGCTTCTCAGCATACATACCGGCAGCTCCCTGTCAACCAGCAGGGGTTTGGACTCAACAACCTTGATGTCGTCCATTTCAAAGAGGTGCAGAGCCTGAGAATCAGAGAGATCAGAATAATTAGTGAGTCGTGTTTAAACACAAGTTCGGGAGGTTCAGAGCTTTTCAGATGCATGATGGGGGTGTAAAAGTACATGTTAGGATAAGGTGTTGATTTTTTCAAACTGCGGGGAAGCACTTACTAGTGTGCTCTTTACAATAAATTTAGATGCTTTCCCTCTCTTGCCGGGTCTCACAGCTCTTTTTAAAAGTGAGTATTGGCAGACTTGAAGATCCTGAGGCCATAAAATGACAGACTGCTTGAAGGTTGAGGTGGGTGTGTTTCCTATCCACACAAAGCCAAAGAGACTATCATTTTATGTAGACTGCTATATTAGGTGTACGTGAACAGGCTTGCAGCTGTGATCTGCACCAGCATGTGCATCAAACATGAAGCCCCACCCGACAACAGCGCATATCAGAGACCAACACGCCGTCTGACAAGGACTCACAACCTGACAAACAGGGTATGCAGGTGGGGGAGCCACAAAAGGGAGGTCCAGCAGAGTGGAAAAAGACGAACTGTGATTTCGGAGTAATTTTTCACCCTGCAGAAGAATACGTGTACGTCCACCATACATGCACTGTGAAAAGAGAGGACTGAAGTGGATTATTAACAAAGCAGAAGCAGTCCCTCCCTGATATTAGTTTCAAGATTGGGCAAGAATTTTCTTTCAAAAGAGGAACACTAAAGTCCTGTTCAAATAGAACAGAAAAAAACGGGATCTAAAGACAAAGAGACTGGGAAGGCAGAAGGAAAAAAAAAAGGGAAGAAGAGGGAGGGTGAAGAGAGGCCAAGCTGTGTGGATCATGATGCTCTGTTGGACTAGAGCAGGCAGGCTGTGACTCTGCATGCAAATGAAATTAGCCAGTTAAAGAGGGCTCTTTGTCCAACTGGCCCTGGTGGCTCCTGAGAGCCAGGGGTTTGCCCTCTTCTCTCCCACAGCTGAAGGGGGGCATGACTGACCAAGACACACATCCACATACAGGAAGCCCTGGTTCCCATCAAAACATCCCAGCTTCTTTTCAGCTCCCCCGCTGGCTTCCAAGCTCTGTGCATTCTGCCACTTCTCTCTGTTTGTCTAGGTTTCTGCTTGGATGCAGTCGCTATGTTTGCTCTTTTCCAGCCTCTCACAATGTGTTTTGTGCTCCCCGTCTTTCCTGTTTTTCTTTGTATACAGCAGCGGCAGAAAATTAATCAACCTTCAGGGCTGCACAGAGGTCGTCAGAGCCGGGTGGTAATGTAGAGACAGTGATCCATTATGTTTCAAATATGGTTGCCCGGCAGAATACACCCTAGACACACACACAGTCTCGCACAAACATGCTCTTCTGACTGGGAGACCAGTGCCAGCCAGATCTCACAATAGTGCAGAGGAAGAGGAGTATCAAACAACAGGTTCATTTGTCTGCTGCGGCCTTCTGAAACATGGCCACCAGTGCACTGCAGGGGCTTTGTTGAGGAGGACAAGAGATCAGCCCCCGCTGAGATTCCACAGCCATGTGAGAGAAGGCATGTTTATGATCATCACAATGTTGAAAGACGGCCATTTTAGCTTAGAAAATCTGAAATACAAGTCCACATGTCAACATGAGGGCCAACCTCTAAGCCCATTTTAAGCCTTTTGGCAAACACACTTAAATCAAACCACACCAGAGAGTTCATTAACTAAACTAAACTAACTAAATTCCTCTGGACTCGACTACCATCACCACCGTTAACATGCTGGCAGCAGAGACAGAGTCTGGCTGGGCAGAAGGCTGAGACAACTGGGTCACCTGCTGTTTACACCTGTGGCGTGCGTCAAACTGTCCGCATCACCGAGCTAATGTTTCACCTGGCCGAGAGGAGCGCGCAGAGGGAAATGTTTTAGTTCAAACCCCACAGGTCCTCATCCCAAGCAACAAGATACGAGTGCTGCTGCCATTATGTTTCTTATGTAATGATTTCACACATGTCAACAGGCTGTCATGGAGAGCAGATCTAGATAAATTTAATGAAACCCAGAAAACTTGAAAGAAGTTTAAATAGCTTCCAAATGCATGAACAAATACACTAAAAGGGGAAGTGAGTACAGTTTCTGCAGTGTATTTATTCTCACAGGGGTTGTGTGTTGCTGCTGCAGCAGAGGGGGGTTTCTGCAAACTGGTGTCATTGGCAACAGTCACACATTGTCTTAAACCGAGTCAAACCAGTTTCTACACGCAGATTCACTATTCAAACTTTTTTTTCTTTTTTTCTTTTTTACATAAAGATGTCAAGCTGTAGGAAAAGAAAAACACAACTATTCACTGAAACAGCTTCGGTCTGGCAGAAGTGAGACTGTGTTATGCAATCGTGGACAGGAAACTGTGGGAGGATATAGGTTCGGGATGATCCAAAATATGTAGCACGAAATCAGACGCATACCAAAGAACACAAACTCTATACTTGCGCTGTGAAATGTTGGCTGGTGGGGCTTCTATTATCTCTAAAAACAAGATTTGGGAGTAAACAAACTGAGTATTAAAGGCCCCTATTTGAATAGATGATAAGGTGTCGCTCCTTAAAGCTTTCATGATATGCAGAATTCTCCTGATTACGTACTGATTCCTAAAAAGCAGGCTCTCTTCACTTAACAGCGAGATAATGTGGTTTGAGCTTCAGAGGAAAACAACAACAACAACAGCGCTGGTGGAGGCCTACATAGCACATTAGTGCTTGTTTACCATGGTAAATCCAGAGATACGACACACTGCTTTAAGCCAGGACATCCAAGTTACAAAACAGCATGAGCTCAAACTCTCTCTTTGTTCGCTGAGCGAGCGAGAGAGTGAGAGGAGAGAGAGAGAAGCATATGTACTGATTAGATTTGGACATTAAGTCTCAATTTTAGAGAGCCTGAATCAAGGCCAGGCCAACCTTCCACCATTGCCTCCATATAGTTTTTAAATCCACGAGGCTGATGCATCCATCTGCAGAAACAATGATTGCTTCTCTAATCTTTGGGAACTCGCTTAATCTGTCAAATCCCTGGTTCTGAAATATCAGCACAGCAGCAGCAGCAGCAGCAGGCCTGCTGGACTTAAGCTCTTCCAGACCTACATTTTCAGACTGTAAGAGATATCAAAATGTGGGTTTCTTCATGGCTCCAGTCAGCTGTTGCGGGGAGGTCATGATGGGGGTCTGAGGGGATCACCGGTGGGTCCATGAGCATCAAAACATCACGAGCTCGCTGGTTTGAGCAGCTGTGAGATGTGTCCTCATGAAAGGCAACAACATCTACGGAGATAATCTTTTACACAAGACTGGATTTAACTATATCTCTTAATATTTTAATTAGCAGGGAATCTAAACAAAGAAAGCGGGTCAGTGTGCAGGTTTGTTTTGATGGTAGGATGTGCTTTACAGTTATATTTTTGGCAGGCCTCCACTAATACATTAGTTGTTTTTTAAAAGCACCATTTTTCCATATTTTTGATTTGTCCTGCTGCAAGCACCACCCCACTCCCCTCCTCCCACCCTCGTGTTTGTGTTTGTTTTCTTAATATTAGGGCTAGAAAGCAAAGAGGATTTGTTATGCAACTACTTCCCTCATAATATTTGCGACATTTGACATAAAAGCTTCATGTTTTCGGTGTGAGTGTGTGTGTGTGTGTGTGTGTGTGTGTCTCTGGTGTCACGTGTGAAAAGCATGTTGATCCATGACTGAGAAGCTACCTGTTTGCTGGCTATGCATGTCAGTGCCACTCCTTACTATTGAATGTACACCACATATTTTGAGAAATATGATTGAAAGTCCAAAAAAAAGGCGTATCCAAAACGCATTTACGCATGCAATTACGCACAGCCTTCATGTGTTTCCCAAGTGCACAAAATACCAAAACAATGCACTTTTTCTTATCTTTTTTTTTAATATTATTATTAATGATGAAGTGGAACAACACTTCTTTCCAATTTAAGCTGTTCTGCCAAACTGCACAAACAACATGTTCTAACATGTTGACAAACTGACTAGGAAGTAAGCGCACAGATCCCTATAAAATAATAAAAAATTGTGGGAGGGAAAGTTTTCTATTTTAAAGCAGAAACCTACCTGTTGGTTTAACTGCTGATTGTCCCGAGAAGAACACTCCCCAAAAAAAGTCCACAAAACTTCTCTTTTTTCTTTGAAACTGCGCAAATTGTTGCTGTGGCGTTGCTTTGTTTATAACGTGTAGCGCAAGGCGGATGTTTGAGGGAATTTTATAAAGCCTGGGGAGGCGCAGCCCGGCCCACTTTCCCCCACTGCTGTCTCGATTGGGCAACAGCAGCTGTGGGCTCGATAACGCAGATTTTTTTTTTCTAACTCTTTCCAGCGGTTGCATGATCAGGAAGCTGACACTCATGGCTAGAAAAAAAAAAACAAAACTCTAAAACGCACCTCCCATTTGCAATTTTCATTTTGCTTACATATGTTTTCAGTCATTTTTACCACATGGTTGCTGGAAAGAAAGAAAAAATCTCCCAAAACAGCTGAACTGAATGTATAGCCTATGAAACTTAATTGCTCTGTAACTTCCTTTTGTTTGCACTGCAACAGTGTCATCATTGCACCTTCTGGAGTGTCACATGTGACAGTTTCGTGGAGGTGTGGCGTCAGGGTGTGGATGAGGATCCTGGTAAGCCTGTTGTCTTCTACGCACCAGCTCCAGCTCAAGAATATAGAGTATTTGCACAATCTTGATATCAGCTTACAATTTGAAGATGTGTTTAAACTGTGGCTCTATGAGCCTGAAAGCTAGGAATGCGGCCGCAACCTTGATTTGAGGCCAAGAGGAGATAAGTCTGTACAAAGGGAAGCCCTTCCCTCTAACTTGGATCACAGCGCCTTTCCTTGATAGCACAATGCTATTGTCTAATCAAAGTTAGCTGGTCCTGCAGATGCAATAATCAGTCCCACAGCAGAGGCAGCTTGCTTCTGTGGGAGCAGCAGTACAGATGTTCTCAGAGGAAAGACCACCTATCTAATCTAAATTGGGTGTTGAGTGGTCTCCTGGGTGGTCAGTTGGTTGGACGCCTTTTTACATATGACATGACAGCTGAAACATGAGTGCTTGTGTAAATTCTTCTTAAGCTTGTCCTGCAGTGTGGGGCTCCTCATGGAAATTTCCACACCTGCAAGAGTGTGACTGTTACACTGTGAATCTGCCAATAAGTGCTAGTATTGGCAATGAGTGTGTGAAAGGTCCTTGTCAGGATACAATAGCTGCACTGTGGACTTGTAATGTGAGGCCCTCAATAGGAACCCGCGCACAATAGCCGCATTGGAAGAGAAAAATATAACCACTATGCTAATGTCAGATCAGTCACTTACATTGCAAGGATGTGAGCAACACAGACGAGCGGATGTCCAACCAAACAGCCGCATACATTCCAAAAACACTTTTTTCTTTTTTCTTTTTTTTTTACAATGAGCATCTTTCAATGTGCATGGATTTATAGTTCCTATCCAACTATCACTGTGAAACAATGACAGCATTTGCAAGCCTGCCAGCTGCGAGAGATTTAGTGCAGCATATGTGGGTCGCAGGGTGTCTCAATACTTGATAAAACCAGTGGACTTTCACCTGGCCGATTACGGGGTTGGTGGGAGCAGCTGGCAGCCTCTACAAAGCGTATAAAACAGGAGTAGAGCTCCTCAGGTATGAGCTGCAGCCCTTCACGTGTCTGTAGACTTTTCATAGAGTTGGGGTTTATCAGAGGAATGAGGAAAAAAGACTTGTTTTAGTGCTATTTTTATTCCTTTTGCCATTTTAATCGAACACTGACGATGTATCGCTCTGATTTTATGTCATTATTTAGTTCGTTTTCTTACACTGTAAAACATCAGAAAGGAATTTTGTCAACTCAGCTCATCTTTTCTACGTTATTTCATAAAATATGTGGCTTTTCCTCATTTTAGTTGCAACTTAAAATGATGAGTTGAACTGCAGAGAGTTCACTAAGAAGCAAAACTAGAATATGGGCAGACTTCCCATGATGCTCTCCAGAGACTTTCGTGTGTTTGTTTCATCATTTCAGAAAACAGACATGATGGAAACCTTCTGTGTATCTTCAATAAATACACTTCAAACGTGGCAAAGATCACTTTAGAATTCAGTCCCTACTCCTGTATACTTCAATTTGTATCTCATCATAACTGTGATAAGCGTCCCAGATTTCCTTTGTTCTGGTTACAAAAAAAAAATCCAGTTATGGTTCTCGATGTTAAATGAAGATTAAACTCAGAACATGTAGAAGGAGTCTGACGATGTGACTAATTGATTCAACTTAAAATCTTTAGTTTAAGTTGCTTGTTTTCTCAAGTTCAGCTGATTTAACTCAGCCAGTTTTACACCTTCACAACTCATGTGATGACCTAGCATTAATTATTCAACTAAAGAGCAGTTAATCACATGATTGAGGCATCAATCTTTCAATGCTTTTAATGTGAATGAGCTCAACATGATTTACAGTGTAGAGTGTTAAGTAAAGGGAAATAAATGGCATGTTAGGCTTGTCATAAACAGAACAGCTACAACAGGCATATCTAACATGTGACACTAGAGCACATTACATCCTTAGTTTTCATTCCTTCCCGTCCTTTTCCTTTCATAATGCAGGAGGCCTATATTATGCATCCAGTAGCACAATGAGATAAACCTGTCTCCTGCCTTCTGTATCTCTTATCTGCTGTACGCCCGTCAGGGGTCAAGTTAAAGCGTGTCTGATCTCTAAGTTCAGGACCAAAATATGCTGCAGGTCAGAGCAGAAAATAAAACAGCAAAGAGAGAATAGCACTGAAAGTCAAAACTCATCCTGACAGCTATCATTAAAAATACCACGACCGCAGACTGTTTCCAGAGAACTGCTTCATCCTCAGGTCGAGTCAAAACACACGCCCATCCCAGGTTCTTTGTGTTTGACTAACCAAGAGGCAGAGTGATGCAATGCAGTCGTAACAGGAACGGGTGATTCAGACACACATGACAGGGAATGTGGCTGCAGGTCACGTAGTAAAAAGGTTTGTAATGGAATGTAGATTTGTGCTCAACGCAGAGCATGTCTGCATGGTGTTTGAGGTAAAGAGCAACACTTGGGTGAAGTTGTGATATTGACCGTGTCTGTGGACTCCGGTGGTAAATCTTTAGAAACCGTCAGTAAACTAAGCAAAGAAAAAGTTGAAAAGTTAACTTCCCAAAGTTGCCTCTGATGTCCAGATGAATCATTACAGGAAATAGTTCAACATTGAATATTGTTGCAGAGAGTTAAATGAAAAGATCTCATATCAACACATATAAAGCATCCGGTTTAGCACAAATACTGTTAACGTGGGGGAAAGGCTGGCCGACTTCTGCCCAAACCACCATCCACCCCCAAAGCTTCTACACTACATCTCACTTCTAATTGGTTTTATAAATATCCTAGAGCGGGTCTCATTTCACTGACTTGCAGCGAGCGCCAATGTGTTTTACGAGTTTGTGCATCACGCAATTATGCTTTTATTATTTGTCAACAAACAAAGCGTGAAGTTTTATTAGGTCGTAGCTTTATGAGCGGTGTTGGTTCCAAGCTCTCGGTTCGGAAATTTCCCTTCAGCCTGACCTGTATTCAATATTGATTGTCTCAATAAGGCGCAGTAACTGCTATGATAAGACTGCTCTCTTTTCTCTTGATGTTGATAAGCTTGTTACTGAGTGACTAACCACGGTGGGCAAATGTTACTGATATGCAACAGTCATCAGTGAACAGCCTTAATAACATTGTTTGCAGGTCCGTGAGCCTCTTGGGGGACAAAGGTTAAACTAACCAGGCACCTACAAAAGCATGCACCCTCCTGAGGCTTTTACTAATCACTGCATTACTAAAAAAAAAAAAAAAACAAGTGATGAAAACTCATGCATGTGTGCGATGCTAAAAAAAAAACATAAATCTACGTTGCTGTTAGTACGGTTGACATTGTTCTGGTGAATGTGGTTTCGAGTCAGGTACAGGTAGCCTGAACCGTGCTGATAGTCAGCTGACACGTCCTCAAAGGGGACACACAAACAAGGCTGTGTAATTATTAAAGATCGCATCTTAAAAGGAAACGTTTGGTGGCTTCTTTAAAAGGCAAAGGCACAAGATCAGTAACGAATTAAAGTGTGTTCATTTGTGTAACATGCTTCGGAACTGATTAAGTAGAAATTATGAACAGAACCAGTGTTTAGGATTTAATTATTAGCAGAAATGATATTCATAACTAGATTTTCTTTTGTGTATAATCAACTGTAACTACATGTTGTTGTTTGTATTTTTTTTTTTTGCTAACTTAGACACTCCCATCCATCCATTATCTATGCACCTCTTAATCCTCACTGGGGTTGCGGGGGGGCCTGGAGTCCAATTAACCTCAACATGTTTTTGGACTGTGGGAGGAAGCCGAAGAACCTGGAGAGAAGCCGGGGATAACATGCAAACTCCACACAGAAAGATCCAAACCAGGATGTGAGCCGGGGATCTTCTAGCTGCGAGGCGACGGTGCTAACCACTGATCCACCTTGCAGCCCTAGAACAGGCCCTTCTTAACTAAATATGGAGACAAATATGGGACAAACCAAACACTGGTTCTAGATGGTCCCTTTGGTGCTGTTACATGAAAGTCTTCCTCTTTAACTAAATGTTGCTCTACAGAAGTACATGTTTGTGATTGCTTTTGGCTACTTTTTATGGTATTAATAGTTCAGATGTATTTCAGATTTCTCTTTTTAGAAACCCATCTTATAAGTTGCCATCCTGTTTTGCCAGATTTTTTTTTTATTTTGCTTTATCCTGTCTTGATGCTTTGCACATAATTTCGCTGCTAGTTATCTGGTGGCTTGTAAAGAACTTTGGTCAACTCAGGTCCTTTTACGACATAAATCCATTTCATTTCATTTGAAAGGGCAAAAGAAAACCTGCTCTCATCAGAGACTGTGGTGTCCTTTTGTATATGAGTTTTTCCAGTTTACCACAATCTTCTAAAGAAGTTGGAGGGGTGAGGTCAGTGTAGGGTGTAAGGTTTGTGTCATGTGTCATACTATTGTTTTCGTTTCCACTCTTTCTGCTAAAGCTAAAGCACTGACACTTGTTGGGAAAAAATCACAGCTTGGGTGAACATATACCCTTTCAAAAAGCTTAGATCATGTTACAGGGAGAACTTCTTGTGGCTTCAAAAGGAGTAGAGAGCAGCAG